AGTCAGAGCACTGGGCAATGAAAGTGGGCTGAAGACTTCTGCTTTTCACTCTTACAACTCCTTGTTTCTATTAGAACCACCTCTTAACTTCAGATGGCCAAAATGTATGGTTTGGATACGTAAAAACATACTAGCGATTTTCACTTACAAAAACATTGTCATGGCTATGTAAAATTTAACTGTAAATTTCTCTTCATTGTAATTTGACCCTGTGTTGTTGGCCATTTAGAGTGCTTGGCTGTAGTAACAGTCTTTGGGTCATAGCTCAGAAGCATTCTTTAGGGCATGGCCTACCCATCAGATCATGCTTGGTGCTAGGGCCTTTATATCACCTAATACCTGTGCTCTTTTCCAGGTGCAGTGGGGGCAGGAGAGTTTATGAGCCCCTGTGAGAGTGGAGACAACACAGGTGAACCTTCTGCCCTGGAAGAGCAGAGAGGACCTTTACCCCTCAACAAAAGCTTATTTTTGGGCTATGCCTTTCTCCTCACCATGGCCACAACCAGTGACAAGTTGGCCAGCCGCTCCAAATTATCAGATGGTCCTACAGGAAGCAGTGAGGAAGAAGAGGGTAAGGCCCTAGAAAGCCCTAGGGACTCTGACTTGAATGTTTTCTTCATTTTCATTCACTTTATGTACTGGTTGGTCCCCTACTGAAGCATGGCAGGGGCTGGGCAAGTGGCAATTAGGATCTTGGATAAGGAACTGAAAATTAATTTGTGTCCTGCTTCTCGGTTTATAGTTTCCACAGAATTCCTCTCAGTGAATGGTTCCTCAAAAGAACCTGGTAAACAGATGGGTGATAGATTTTTTTGTCATCTGTTTTACATATAAGGAAACAAGCTGAAAGAGGTTAAATAATTGTATTTTGTCTATAATGATGGCAGACTTGGAATTAGAACCAAGTGGTCACTTTACCGTCCTGCTGCCATCCAAGTCAGTCATGAATGCCCTACCATCTTTTCTATTTGTGTTCTAGGAACAATTTCTAGAGGAAACTCAAATTGGTGAGTCTTATTCTCTTGAGGTCTAAGTTTAAGACTGGGAGTGTGTGTGTGCTGCCCAGTGCCCAGGATAATTTGAGAGAAATAGCTTCTAGGCTTTTTTTAGCTCTCGTATTTTTATTTAACTGTAAACTAAATTTATATAGTTGTCACTTTGTGTTTTGGGTGAAGGTTGAAAAGAGGAGAGGTAAAATTTATTTCAGTATTCTGACAAGTATGTGATCTATGAGAGAATGAACAGATACGAGTGTGTACTCTACTGTAAGTAACTGACAGTAATATCCAAATGTGTCTGTCAAGGCTAAAGGACTAGACAGAATGATGGTTTTACAAGTCAGAGCCCTAATGTTGAGTCTTACAAGAGTTGAAATTAGGGAATGTGGTTGAAATAAAACAGCATTAAAGATCTGTGATTATTGGCATTTCAGGTGTGTAAGATGACTTTCCTAATTTGCCAAAACTTCTCACCAACTACAGCCATGTGGACAAGGACATGGGAAGAGTGATCAGTGATCAGAAAGTTGAAATTAGGATTTATGCTATTTGGGAGGTGCACAGAGAGGCTGTAGATAGAGATGCTCTGGAGCAGGGAAGTTGGGTTGTGGGAACAAGTATAATTAATGTATGGGATTTTCAAGTGTCCCGTGTGTGTGAAGCCTAGTTTGTCTTACAGAATTCAGATATTTATCTTATGGGAGATAAACAAGGTATGTGAGGAGTTTCCTAGCCAAGAGTTTAGTTTTACTTTGATCACAAACATTGATCGGATATTTGGGGAGTCCCTTGAGGATTCTGTGTAAAGGTGTGTCCTGGAATTAAAACAATGTTGTCTTTTTTTATTTTTGCTTTCACAATATTGCGCTAATAAATTCTAAGCCCTTTCCTAAAGTAGCACTTTACAAGATTATACTACAGATGTTTTGTTACTTGGCACAGCATAGTCAAAAAGCCTAACTTTGGTATGAGATCAGGCTGTTTCTTCAGTTCCCTAAAACTCTGTATGCCTGTGTTGAGACCTAACAAACTCTACTCAACAAAAATTAAATGAAGAGGAATTTGAAGGTTTTTATTTTTTACTTAGAAAGTATAATTATTTTATGCATCAGTTTTATGTTGGTTCCTTCATACTTATCCCAACAGCACCAGAATCCTTGATTTTTTTTGCAAATGAGAATGCTTAAGGTTACCTTTATCTCAAGAAGGCTGAAGATAGCAAAGGATCATTTTAGTATAGCTATTACAGGTGGCACACACCTGTAATCCCAGCTACTTGGGAGGCTGGGGCAGGAGTATATCAAGTTGGAGGCCAGTGTAGGCAACTTAGCAAGACCCTGTCTCAAAAAATAAAATAAAAAGGTGGGGATATAGCTCAGTGGTAGAGCACTTGCCTTGCATGTGTGAGGCCCACGTTCCATACCCTGTACCACAAAGAAAAAAGGAAAAAGAAAAAACATTCTCTGCTGAATTAATAGTTTTTAAGAAACTATGTGTAATAGATTTTATAGATAAACAGAAATTATTTGATGCCAGTTTATAACAGGAAGTTGGTAAAATATTTAAGTTCATCTTATGAAACATTATTAATGAGTTAGGAATATGGCCCTTGGTTTTGTTAGATGGCATATCATCAAGGATCATCAAACACAGACATTGACTCTGGAGTTGAGTTTATTTTGTAGTCTTATCCTCGTTCTAGATAGTGGAATTGAGATCCTCTTCATTTTAGTCTCAAGTTGGGCAGAGCCCTCTTACCTCAAAAGTAAACTGAATCCAAATTAAAGTTGAGAAGAATTGGAGAAATGGACTGCTTAAACAGGGAATACTGATCATACAAATATAAGAAACTGTTATGGGGGATTAAAATCTAAATGGGTCAGGACTGGAATCAGATATAAAATAAAAAGAAGTCTTGAGAATCTCGAGTCAAGGACCATGAAAAGTGTCAGCAGAGACTAGGTGTCTTGGTGCTAAAGATTGTGACATAATACATTAGCAAAAGGATGCTATGACAAAGCTGTGTTCTGAATTTCTTATAACCATTTAGTTTCTAGTTTGGGTTTTCATTTTGAAAAGAATGTATACAATGTGGAATCAAGAAAAAAGCAGTGAAAGTGAACAGGCTGTTCTGTCACACCTAAACAAAGATGCAGAGACCTGGGATGGGCCATCACCACCACCTGAGCAGCTCCAGCAGGCAGGGAGGTCTCCAAAGGGCATCTCTACAAGGGGTCTGCTCTACCAGGTTTTACTACTGGGGACAAGGGGGAAAGGGAGTGATCCTGGCATTGAACTTTATGCATTGGGTTGGGTTTTTTATTTGCGATAAAATTCAGTTAATTAGCACATAATTTCCCAGAAATCCTAATTAACTAAAATCTCTAATGTCTTGCTTTTCTTTTCTTTTCTTTTTTTAATGTGTTATTATATATGAGAGGAGCAGATGGCAAGAAAACAAGCTCAAATTAGATATTTGCTCAAAAGAAGCAATTTCTAATTGCCTAGGGTCATTACAGCTTCAGCCTCATCTCTCATATCTTCTACTTCACCCTCAAGACTGTAGAGCAGTCATTGATGTTCAGTGTCCTGAGGTACTTCAAGATCATCAAAGGTAGATAGTTTTCCATGAAAAGGTTGAAACAGGATTTTCTGATTAACCTTCACTTAGTTAAAATTTTAAAACCATAATTTCTTTGTGCATTCTGGTTTACCAAAGTTTTAGTGTACAGGGGGTAAAAAAGGCTAATGAAGTGGGAATTTGAAGGCTTTATTTTATACAAAAAGATAATCAGCTATTTATCTCCACAGAAGGCAGAACTAGAAGTAGGTGTAGTTTGCCACAAGATTTAGGGTAGACTTAAGGACAACTTTCTGATGATACGGTTATTCAAATTAGAATAAGTCACTTGGGAAATGGTTACATTGTCTATTTCCATGAATAGTCCCTGATCCAAATCTTAGTGTGCAGGATCCTTTGATGATTTTAGGTCTAGGACCTACCTCCATTCCTCCTTTTCCCACTCCCTCCTGCTCTTGTCCCTTCTTTTTGGCAGCATTTTATAGGCCTCAAGACAGATTTCTTTCTGACTCATGGGGAAGCCCTTAACTTGTTTTTGGGGACACACTACTATGGAGATAGCTGGGGAGTAGAAAATGAGGCAGTCAGAAGCAGGCATAAAGTAGTAAATAAGAAACCAATCAATTCAGTAACTATTACCTTGGTTATCTGTTTTTTTATATAGAATTTTTAGAAATTCCTCCTTTCAACAAGCAGTACACAGAATCCCAGCTTCGAGCAGGAGCTGGCTATATCCTTGAAGATTTCAATGAAGCCCAGGTGAGGAGTCTTTTTGTGTAGCTGTCCAGTGTGGCAATAATGAAAGTCTGCTTTCTTTACTGAGAAAAGGCCCGAGAGGATCCAGGAGGTTAGATTAAAATAGCCAGATTTCAGGAACTGGGAAACTGTCAAAACATTGCATGAACCAGATGCAGTGGTAAAACACTTGTAATCCCACCAATTTAGAAGTTGAGGCAGGGTGATTGCAAGTTCAAGACCAACCTGAACAACTTAGTGAGACAGTGTCTCAAAATAAAAAAAGAGCTAGGAATATAGCTCAGTAGTAGAGTGCCCTGGGTTCAACCCCAGTACCCAAAAAGTGGGAAAAAAATGTCATTGCATAAAGTTTAGCTTTTATTCTGTATAAGGAAATGTATAGAAGTTGGATTAGTTAATGGCTCTGGTTCTTCTTCTGGGATAAAGCATATTGAAATTTATGTTTAATAGAAATCCCTTTCATGTTGTTGATTTAACTTAAAAGGACAAATACAGGGGCTGGGGTTGTGGCTCAGGGGTAGAGCGCTTGCCTAGCATCTGCAAGGCCCTGGGTTCAATCCTCAGCACCACATAAAATAAATAGATAAATAAAATAAATGTATTGTGTCCAACTACAACTAAATAAATATATAACACACACACACATATATATATATACACAAATATATGTTACACACACAGATAAATATTTAATAGATATATCAAATACATGGGTTTTGGTTGTTCCTAAAAGGACTTAGGTCCTCAGATGAGAGTCAGGGAGAATGTTTAGGGAAACATTTTGAGTTTTTGAGAAAAGTGGCCTCAGTCACAAGGACAGACTAAATCATATTTTGGAAGAATCTGAAAGTCTTCCAAGCTCTTCTCCATAGCTTATTAGAGTGAAGATCTTTCCATCTGTTCTGTTCCTTCCAGTGTAACACAGCCTACCAGTGTCTCCTAATTGCGGATCAACATTGTCGAACCCGGAAGTACTTTCTGTGCCTTGCCAGTGGGATTCCTTGTGTGTCTCATGTCTGGGTCCATGACAGTTGCCATGCCAACCAGCTTCAGAACTACCGTAATTATCTGCTGCCAGCTGGGTACAGCCTTGAGGAGCAAAAAATTCTGGATTGGTGAGTATTTGAGAGCCCATCCAGAGCTGAAGAGATAGGAAGACAGCAAGCTTTTGGAAGAATCTAGGTGAGAGAATAAACGTTTTTAGAAACTGGAATGTCTGTAGAGTAAATTACAGAATTTGGATATGAAATGACTTCACCAGCTCATCTAGCTTTGTTTCCAAAGCTTAGTTCCATATTGGCTAGGAGCCCTTTGAACATGTGTGAGAATTTATATGTAGGTTCAATATTCCCAACCTATAAGGTCAGGGAACAAAGTTTTAAGTAAGCACTTAAAAAAAAAAAAAGCTCAGGCACATGATTCAGATTATTCCTAGCCCCTGGACAAACATGGTAGTCAGAAGGGTAGGATCAGAAGGCCAGGGATCCTGGAGAATACACATAATTCACCAAGAGGGAAGGGAAGGGAAGGGAAGGGAAGGGAAAGGAAAGGAAGGGAAGGGAAGGGAAGGGGGTGCCTTAGTACAGGGCTGTTTTGAAAGAATTCAGATGTACCTGAGTTTCTTTGCAGAATGGCTGTTTGTTGGTCATTATCTGTCATGCTAAGATCCTTTCCAATTCCAAAGGGCTTGCTCTCTCTGAATCCTTCATAGGCAACCACGTGAAAACCCTTTCCAGAATCTCAAGGTACTCTTGGTATCAGATCAACAGCAGAACTTCCTGGAGCTCTGGTCTGAGATCCTCATGACTGGAGGGGCAGCCTCTGTGAAGCAGCACCATTCAAGTGCCCATAACAAAGGTACCAGAAAGTGTGTGTGTGTTTTGTTATTATTCCAAGTACCCCACTATCTGTTGGGCCTGTGGTGTAATCTGAGTTTTGGTAATTTCACCTCATCCATTTTTTTTTTTTTCTTTTCTTTTTTGGTACTGGGGATTGAACTCAGGGGCACTCAACCTCTGACCACATCCCCAGCCCCATTTTGAATTTTAGAGAGAGGGTCTCACTGAGTTACTTAGCACTTCACCATTGCTGAGGCTGGCTTTGAACTCGTGAGTCTCCTGTCTCAGCCTCCTGAGCCACTGGGATTACAGGCATGTGCCACCACACCCAGCTTTACCTTATCCATATTTCTAAGAGAAGAAAAGTACCACCATTAAGAGGTGTGTCAACATAAGTGAAGCACTGAGCTGTTCACGCTTCTGTTTCCAGTAGTATATTTGTTAAGACATTTCTACAATGTCAGCATATGTTTTTGGTTGTGATCAGGATTGTTTGACATAACAGGGCTTTACAGTTTGGGTAGACTATACATTATTTTTTTCTGTTGTTGATGGACCTTTATTTTATTTATTTATATGTGGTGCTGAGAATTGAACCCAGTGCCTCATACATTCTTAGGCAAGTGGTCTACCACTGAGCCACAACCCCAGCCCACATCTGTCTTTTTTTTTTTTTTAAAGAGTTGTTTTTTTTTTTTTTAATATTTATTTTTCAGTTTTTGGTGGAAACATCTTTATTTTTATGTGGTGCTGAGGATTGAACCCAGCACCCGTGCATGACAGGCAAGCGCGTTACTGCTTGAGCCATATCCCCAGCCCCCTACATCTGTCTTTTTCATGGAGGACTAAATTGGCATCCTTTCCTCATTCACTTTCCCCTACTCCTTGCAGATATTGCTTTAGGGGTATTTGATGTGGTGGTGACAGACCTCTCATGCCCAGCTTCGGTGCTGAAGTGTGCTGAAGCATTGCAGCTGCCTGTGGTGTCCCAAGAGTGGGTGATCCAGTGCCTCATTGTTGGGGAAAGAATTGGATTCAAGCAGCATCCAAAATATAAACACGATTATGTTTCTCACTAAAGATACTTGGTCTTACTGGTTTTATTCCCTGCTATTGTGGAGATTGTGTTTTAACCAGGTTTTAAATGTGTCTTGTGTGTAAGTGGATTCTTTGCATGGATCTTGTATATAGTTTTATTTGCTGGACTTTTATGATAAAATAAATGTTGAATCTCTTTGGTTGTAGTAATTGGGATTTCTTCATCTGTGTCTTTGAGCCTAATCTCAGAATTAACAAGACAAACATAGTTATCTTTGGAGGTTTTTAGGTTGCTCACTTTAGGAGGACAGCTAACTAATGAAGATAAAAATTTAAGAGTTTAAGGAAAATTTTGAGGCATCATTATCAAAAAGTTATCCCAGGCTGTCCAAAATGTTATGTTTCCAAAAACTCAATTTTAAGGTAGGTCAGAGACCAGGTTAATATGCCAAAAGTTGAGTGGAAGAGGAGAGAGCTCTAAGTTTTTGACTGTTAAAGTTTCTCTCCATACACAGAGCTGAGCTCACTGACAGCTGACCTATGGGTATTCCCCTGACCTGAAAAAAATTGAGTGGTCAGTGACCATAAGCTTGATGGGATGACTTTCTGTAAGAAAAAATATTGAAAACTCTAGTGGGAGGTCCGATATATTATTAATGTCACAATTGCTAGAAGCTCTATCTTCCCTGTACCTAGCATCATCCCTGTTCATGTACTCTTGTTCTCTAAACAGAGCCCAACACATTTTCTATAGGGAGCCAAACAGGAACAATTCCTAGGCTTTTTGGGCCATCTGGTCTCTCAGGACTACTCACCTCTGCTGTGAGAAGATGAGTGCAATTGTAGGCGATAGGTAAACAAATAAGTGTGACTGTTTAAAATAAAAACAAAACTACATTTACAAAAACAAGCAGTAAGCCAGAGTTTGCCAATCCCTGCTCTACAGGCAGGGGAGGGAGGGAGGGGAGGGAGGAAGGGATGGAAGGAGGGATCATTTCTAGTTGACCACTGCACAGACTAAGGGAATTATAACATGGTGGAAGAGGCAGAGATGAAGACCAGATTCAGTTCTGCAAATGAGACCAGAACACCACACTTTTTCCCATTTTGGAGGGAGATGTTAAGTGAATATTTACTTTATTCACACTGATACCAACATTAATGATTATCCATGATGATTGGGTCATATCAGGGGAACTTTAATTCCTGTCACTTGTCACAAGGTAGAATAACTGGCCATAATTTCCAGTAACAATTTGACTCCAATTTTCTCTTAAAAGATCTTTTTCATTGGTGGAAAAATACTTTAAATATATTGTTACCAACTAGAATTGCCCTTTTACCTGTCCATATGAATTGGAACTTGCAAAATTCTTAAGATTCACAGGTTTGAAGATCCTTAAGGCTGGAAGGCTCATAAATTTTAAAGGAGGAAAGAATCTGTGTAGGCATGTTACTTGATACAGGGAGAAGGAAAGTCTTTCTCACCTTTGTATTTCTTACTTGCTGGTAACATCCAGCATTCGACCTATTTGTAAACATTCCTTTTTTATATATAATCCCCTCTCCCCCCACACACACAAAGAAACTTCTGATCTTTGTCATTTACTACCGTATTTCCCACACCTTGAATAGAACCTAGGCACATGGTAAATGCCCCATAAAAAACTGATGAATAAATAATGAACATGCCTAGCAGATGCTCTTAGTGTAAAAGGATGGGAGCCTTGTATGGTCAGCAGAGGGACAGCTGACTCCACAGGTTCTCCTTGGTGTGGGCAGTCACATTCCAAATGGGAATGATGGGAAGGACTTCTACCTTTGGATTATTTCTAAGAGAAAAGGTAAAGCCCTCTTACTAGGCTGCAGATATTTGGTGAATGGCTAGAGAATAGGATGAATCTTCGGTAACAGACTTGAGAATGTGGTGAGAATAACTGTTATTTCGGCTTATGAACCAGTAGTTTTCACATCCCGAAACTACAAAAGAAAAAAAAAGAGCCTCATTTAATACCATGCTTTCCTAAGATTATCTTCAAGGAAATACAAATCAGTGTTAAGATAATGTCATCTTAATACTCAAGAGTCTGACTACTGATAAAACCACTTTAAAAAAAAATCTGCTCTGAGGCATTTTAGTGAGAAAGAAAGGCAATGAAGTTCTTTTCTGAATGGAAAGAACACAGACCTGAGAAGCCAAACACCAGTGGATCTCACTATTAGATTAAAAAAACTTCAGTGAGAAGGGGTGGTCCTGTCCTTTCACAGAATTAGAAGCTAGGGGCCAGCAAAGCACAGTGCCTTTGCTACAAAGGTAGTTTGTATCACAGCTGGGAGTAGAAGGCATACTTCCTCCCAGCTCAGCAATCCACAACCTCGCAAAGGACTTCAAACCCCTCTCACTATCAGGTGTTTCATTATTTTCCTATGATGATGATTTTTTACTGGAAAAATAATCTTCATTAAAATAATTAAAGATGGTCAGACACATACCTGTATCTCTGAGCCTTGTTTATATAATGAGGGTATTTGGGATCAAATGATGGCTAAAGTCTCCCTTCAATTCAGTTCTGGAATTATGCAACTCATTAAATAGCTACACACACACACACACACACACAGTTTCCCAAGGGTTGTCCCTACCTGCCCAGAGTTCCGCCAGCCTGGGTGTAGTATTTGTTATAATCTAGTCGTAACAGTAGTTGAGCCAAATCTGAGTTGATCTGATGATTCCGGACACTGGAGAGAATCTTGAATAGAAGTGAAGACTGGCGGCTAAAGCCCTGCAAAGAGGGGGACTTAAGCTGGCATTCCCCTAAAACTCACCAGCTCTCCATGTGGAGGCCTAGAGCAGGAGAGTTCCTTGCTCAAAATTCCACAGAATCACCTGGTTCCCATTGCTTTTTTTTTTTTTCAGTGCTGAGGATTGAATCAAGGGCCTTGTGCATATGAGGCAAGCACTCTACCAACTGAGCTATATCCCCAGCCCCCATATTCCCATTTTTATTAGCTCCTAAAATGATTTGGTCCATAAAATTCATGACTTTTTATGAAAGTACTTTCTCACTAGTAGGAATTTAGCAGCCGGTTTCAAGTGAATATAATTCTATCATGTACAGGAGTTGGGAGAACTTTTATTTTTCTTTTTTTGTTATAGGCAGATAATTATAATCTCAGTGAGACAGGAGATTAGCTCAAGGAAGTAAGGATGTAGGATGTGAGAAAGCACAATGCCAATGCACATTAGGTGGGCTGAGTACATTCTTCAGGGCTGAACTATTTTTGAACACTGTGAGGTGGCATTTTAATCATCTACTTCAAAATCAACTGATACCAACATTTTAATCTTTGTATCTTGTTATTTCTGTGTATATGTATTGGGGAAATGCTTTATTGACTTGGAGGAGAGATCATGAATTTTCCTTGGGCAAGACCACCACTGTCCTTTGGATAGGGCTGTACACTTCCAATGGCGAAGCAGACTCACCTTCACGAGAATGCTCAGCTGGGCAGCTCCACGCTCATCTAGAGGGCCCAGGTTCTGACTGACCAGTGAACAAAAACTGTGACAGAGATCTAAGATTTCATTCAGGCAGTGAAACACCTACCCAGGAAAGCGAGTTAGCATTAGGAAAAAAGGAAGATGCATCTGTGAAGTGAAAAGATTTGGGAAAATGGTCTAACAGTTGACCTCCCATATCTGACCTCAGGACAGACAAAACCACTTGCAAGGATGCTAGCCCCTCAAATGCAACATGTGCAAATCAGAATCATACCTTGCCTGCATTATTCTCTTAATCCACCCTGCACAAAACTTTAACTCTATCCACATTAATCATAATTTCTTAGAAACAGTGTGTTCCTACCTGTGAGCTGTGGTGTTCCTGGTATCTGGGATACTCTTCTCTGTAACATCAGTTTAAGCCCCACACTCAGTGAAGTGCTTCTTCCCCATTGTAGCCTTTAGTGAGCTTTCACTTCTCTGCTGTATTATCTGTACTGTTCACTTGGCAATTGTTCAGGCCACTTGTGTTGTTATCAATCTTTGTATGAATATATGTTTTGTTTCTCCAACTAGATTGTGAGCTCCTTAAGGGCAGAGCCATGACTTATACCTCTTTGTATTCCCAGTGCC